TTCAGGCAGCAGAGCACGTGTCTTGCAGCAAATCAACAAGCACATTTAACTAGCAGACATGCAGAGTTGCAAAAAGTGCAAAGCAGGCACAAGACTAAAGAAACACATTTTTTTTTTGAAAAAAGTATGATTAACTTTGAAGTGTGAACTTTTGTAATTTAAGTTCATAACTTCAAATATAACTTAAAAGTTCGAACTTTGCAGTTCAATTCAGAACGTCAGAAGCTTCAGACTGGCAGCACTGTCAGTGCTCTCTCTCTCTCTCTCTCTCTCTCTCTCTCTCTCTCTCTCTCTCTCTCTCTCTCTCTCTCTCTCTCTCTCTCTCTCTCTCTCTCCATCCAACGGGCAGCAGCGACGGGCGCCACGTCGAAACGGCCACTTTGTAATTGCTCGGGCCTGGGTGAAACCCGCCACCCGAAAAACCTGCAGTGTCTTGTGTCCGGACCTCTAAGCCCTGTCCGCTGAGGTGAAACGACACTGAAAAATCACCCCGTTATTTTTTGAGGGGTGGCCAGCACCCGATAAACGTCCTGGGCCGCCCCATTTTTCTTTTTGATTTTTGCCCCAGGGATCTCCATCAGACATAAGGACCGGACACCAGACACTGGACACGGGACACCGGACTGTCTGGAACCCGGTCCGGATGACCGGATGGTTACCGTGATACAAATTGCATCAGATGAGGTTACAGCAAACTCAATCGGGAGATTCCACGATCCTACATCACCATCATACCCAATGTACAGCGCATGACGTCAAACAGCGCCCTCAACAGTGCTGCAGCACAAACATATTAAGGCACGCAGCGCTGGCGATTCGAAGACCGAAAAATGAACAAAAAAGCATCCGCAAGGATCCTGTGCTGATCGCATCAACAGACACTGTCAGACAGTTGGAACAGAAGTAAATAAAGTTAATATAACTAAATGAAATGCCGAAGTGAATTACCAAAATATCAAGCTCGCTCCAGGACGATTAGACCTATGGCTTCCAATAACCACAGCCGGTCTCAACAGTTAGAAAATAATAGAATCTGTAAATGTACGACATTTTTTAAGATTTAGGGACTTCCTAAGTTCCTATGGCCGGCGCTACGGCGCTGACAGTAACCGAAGATCCTAAAGTCAGATCACGGAAGATCGTGGTGAACTCGGGAGTACAGGCAGCAACAGACAAAATATCGGTTCATGCGGATTTCATCACCGACTACCGTCTTCGCCCGAATAAAACGCCCGGTCTTTGTAGCTGTATTTTGCAAAACTTTCGGTCCAGATGCAGCAATAATTACCGGCCGTTCTATTCGGGTGAGGACGGTAGTAACTTAGTAGTAACACACACCAGTGATGCAGCATCGATTGGATCAACGTCTGGTACGAGTCCGAGGGGAGTGTAGGGACAGGATTGGGTGATCTACGAAAGGAGGGTTGGTGCACGGTGGGTGAAGAGACAGGGACCTGGAGTAGTGGAGTGTAGGCTGAAGCTCGGGGCAACTATTTAAGAAGATGCGCAGTGGTGTTTCGTCACCTGAGTGGACGATGCGGAAGGGCGATGCTGGCGTGCAGTTTTGCATGACGGTACTTTGATTGACGCACATTATGTCCTCCACGCGAGTGAAGCCTCGCATTTTGCGTTATATCATATTTGAAATTTGAACAGCATATCCACTGATTTACAGACTAATCACATCAGCCCGAGATTGCATCCGAAAAAGGCCAATATGACAGCAATAATCATGAAGATGATGAAGCTTGACCATCGACTGAACATGCACACATCAAGCACTGCACATTTCCTGACCAGGCTGAATTACAGAGGTACCATTGAAGCAGAGATAACAAGATGGGCATCAGGGAACTCAAATGGACATTTATAAACAGAGATCAAATATAGATGCTAAGAATGGAAGAAACGTCACCGCAGCGCCCACGAAATCACAGTTGTAAGTAAGCAAAAGACAGCACGGATATTCACGTCAGCTCCGGATTTTTCAGTAAATTATTATGTAAATCCTAATTCATGTACCATACCACACACAATAACATGAGTATAACCGATATACAAACGAATCATTACGAATCCAGAGGGTGTGAATGGAAAAGGTACAGTTGCACAGTCCATATGGTGAGGATGGGAAAAGGCACTTACCGTAGTAAAAATGCTACAACCAAGGATGCGGCAACACCTCGGCCCTGTGGGGAAGGGGGGGCGGGATGGCACAAAGACTGGTCACATTAGGCCAGCTGATATTTGGAATTGCCCAGGTAGGGAGAGTCCGGTCCAAAATTGGTTAAGTTACTGGCCATTTACCTCAGTGGGCTAAAACGAAAAAGACAAAAAAAAAAAAAAAAAAAAAAAANAAAAAAAAAAAAAAAAAAAAAGACTAAATTTCTAAAACGAAAAAAAGTTAAAAAAACAGAAAAAAAAAGGACTTCTTCGGCCCTTTACCACATTGGGTTAAACCGTGAGAAGGAAGGGGCTCCAGTGTTACTGGGTACCCTACTGCAAGGAAAATAAGCAATAGCGAGATGACAGAATCAGATTGCACAATCACATTGAAAGCCAGAAAGTCCCACAGTGTCCAGGAAGTAGCATTGCACCAATAATACACCAATGGAGAATCGTAACACTGAAACTGAATGTCAATGAGAGCTTACTCTCGTCTTCACCAACATAAGAGTCCAGGCCCTTCCCCCTACTTGGCGCTCGGCACCCAGACTACTCCCACACAGCTACTATCTGCCTAAGAATTGACAATGCAACTGTTCGCGTCAGCAGCCACCGAAGTACACGAAGATGCTGCCCAATGCAGACGATCGCCAATACCAGGTCTGAGCCCTCACATCATCCTCCTCCTCTCTCTCTCTCTCTCTCTCTCTCTCTCTCTCTCTCTCTCTCTCTCTCTCTCTCTCTCTCTCTCTCTCTCTCTGTGTGTGTGTACACCCGAAGACCACCCCTGTGCCTTGCTATACACCAAGCCCAGCCAGCTATGGAAGCTGGGCTATGGCGCTGCCCTCAACAGCGCCCTTCTTCCCACACGACCGCACGTGCACAGCACCTTGCCCCTAGCGCTAGCAGCAGCACGCGAGCATCCGCTCCAGCAGCGCTGCCGCAAACTGGCAAGTGCTTGAATGAGCTGCCAGGCAGAGCTCTTTCCTATATGGAAAGAGTACGGCCTGGCCTGCCGCCTGGCTGGGCTGGGCCTGCGCCCAGAAGCTTCCGGTAGGCCCCAGGTAGCTGGGCCTCTGCTGCTGCTGCTGGGCCTCTTTCAGTTACGTCTCCCAACTCTGTGTATGTTGCTGCGAATGTGGCCCAGGGGCTGCAATTCAGAAAAGGCCTGGAAGGCCGTAGAAAGTACTTGCTGCTCGGGTCCTGGGTTCCCTCAACCAATTGACGTGATGCAACTGCCTGAGCCTCAAATACGAATTTGACAGTATTCGGCCTCTCATGATTTGGTAGGCCCGCCTTCACTTACGGCGGGCACACTTGCATCAAAGGCCCCTTAGGCCTGCTGAGGAGCCACATCCTCACACTACTTTCTAAGAAGGGAAAAAAAAAAAAGGAAAAGAAGAAGAAGAAGAAGAAGAAGGGAAAATGGCTGGTTACCCCATAAAGTTTCTTGCAATGGCCCATGACCAGGCCCCTATGTATGTGGATCACAACTCAGTGGGGCTCATAAATTTCTGCTGAGTTCAATATAGGGATAGCTGAGCTCCATAAGGGGAGTAGGAAAAATCAAGAAATTGCGAGGTGTACATGAATATTATATATGTACACACATACATGAGCATATACCAAAAACTGCATTTATGTGAATCTATATGTAAGTCAAGAAATTGCGAGGTGTACATGAATATTATATATGTACACACATAAATGAGCATATACCAAAAACTGGATATATATGAATCAAATGTGCCTATACATTTATATACATCAAGTTTTTGGTACATGTTCATTTATGTTTGTGCGTATATAATATTCATGTACACCTTGCAATTTCTTGATCTTTCGTACTCCCCTTATGGAGCTCAGCTATGCCTCTATGTATATATATAGTTGTTGTCACAGCCTTTCGTTTGTTGTCCTCTTCTCCCTCTCTGCCTACGGTTTACCGGTTAGCTCTGTTTGACGACATATAGTTGTTGGGCAGTCGTTGATGTTTAACCACAACCGGGGTTAAGGTGGATTATCACTTACAGTGTAATCAATTAGGGGATTCTGCAGACTGTTCAGGGTTCAGCCCCCGGCGAAACAGTTTGTGGCAGCCCCTCGTTTGTTGTCCTCTTCTCCCTCTCTGCCTACCGTTTACTGGGCAGCTCTGTTTGACGATAGTTATCATAACATGCATATGTGACAATATTTATATCATAACATGTGCATGCATGCATGTGTGTGTGCATGCATGCATGTGTGCATGTGTGTGTGTGTGTGTGTGTGTGTGTGTGTGTGTGTGTGTG